TGCAGTCGGAAGGCAGACAATGACCGGAAGGACAGGTTGGTGAGGGGTGGGAAACTGGTCTAAACACTGCCTGAATGTATTACAAACAAGCATCCAGGAGTTAAGAGATTAAGTAGGATTTCTTTTGGATTATCTATTTCAACACAACCATTGACGAACGCGGTATAAACATCAACAATTATTCTTTAGACAACATAACCTAATATCCTCGGGTGGGCAGCTTCGACCACTTAACTCGTCATCAAGGTTACCGATGCACACTTCCGGGAGAACTTGCAATAAACACCTCCAGGTAAGGCGGCTACGACGGTACTACGGTCTGATGCACCTACAGGTACAGTAATTCCTCTTAATGACCTGACCTTGATGATGTACCATATTAATTACGGTATCTATCGACGTGTCTTCCTTGATACTACAATGCTACACTGTTTGATGATACCGATTAGCCAGACCACAGTGTTCTAGGTGTAAGTTAAGAGACACAGCCAAGTTGGTTACAAAACTCACCCTTTAAGCGGAGCAGATTTCAGGGGTTCCTCTTTACCGCACGACCCGATCTTCGACCAGAGGCAGTTGAGAGTGCAGCGCGCAGACTCGCCTCTCAAATACTCCCATAAAATGATCTAATCTCATGGACTTATGCATTTTCTTTTATTTGATGACAACCTAGGTGAAAAACCTCAGCGATTTTTTTTTGTCTCACATAATTAACAATTACGCGCCATTCCTTCGAGTTTCCACCTATTAGAAGCTTGGCTGGTTTGTTCCGTGGTTCAATACACCTAAACTCTCGTATCTTATTGAGGGAAAAATAACCTGTTGTTAGTGTAAATGTTTCATCAGCTGGTAAATGTTCGTCTTTTATGTTCATACACACTTTCAAGCCTGAAATAATGAGCAAACACTTTCCATTCGTTGTAACAGATGGATATTATATATTATGGCATTTTGCAATATCCGTCGTCTGTGGTGTCAGATTGCTTCGCGTGAAATGTGAACGATACTTTTTGATCATATTTACATTCGATTTATTTAGCCTCCACTATTCCCTTATAGCCGTAATTTCCTGGCATTTTAACTCTTTTTAAGGGAAACGTGTTACACTTCTTTCAAAATACAAGAGTAATGCTACCATAAGCTAGGTGAAGATGGCTGTTTGGGGCACACACATCCCTTCATGCTAGGCAAAAGTGTTAGTCATACATTTCCTACAGTTTTATGGCAATGATCTCTGAAGGTCGTGGATGTTTTGAGTGTGATACCAACATAAACTAAACATATTCAGTAGAGATATGAGGAGGGAAGGTAACGTGGCCACTACCTTTCAATCTTCCCCAATATGTGTGCTCTTGAGAACTCGACATGGAGATTGAATGATAAACGTAAAATTTATTCTTAAAAATGTGAAATTTATGAACGAATGCAAACTTTTTTAATGATGTACAAGTATTAAGTGACTCAGACACTTCTTACGCTTACAATCCAGAGTGACAAGCCAATTTCCTCACGAATACAAATCTTTGTTTTCTGGCAGTCTTACACTCCCAGGAAGGAGAAATATTCAACGTAGAAATACCTTTAATAAATTTGTAGCAAGCCTTTGGGTGGTCCATGTACAGAACATATCACTGTATATTTCACTTCTGTATCCCTTTGGTTTAATGTTATTTTGAAATAGCCAATAAAGCTCTTAACTGATACTAAATAGTTATGGCTCCAATAAAAACTTATTGCCACTTCAAATTAATCAATCTGAAAATGACATTACAATCTAATTATTCTTGCATATATTAATCAGTTGATGAAAGGGACACCGAAGGTTTATTCAACGTGTGTGTCCCAGACTTCTACAAATGGCCTTCCCGGCGCGCTGGCTTCCTGTGGTCACTAGTGTCAACATCCTGGTATTGTACCATGTGTAAATGAGGCAAAACAAACTCCATGTGACACTGCCTACCCCCCTCCCCCCAATGATGTTTATCTTAACTCAGGGTAATGTCCCATTATCTACCGTAAAATTCAACTCCATCTACTGCACTCCTCGTCATTGCATTTCTCCTCCCTCTCACTTGGACAGTTAAACCATCTTTGTCTTTCTTAAATCATGACGTTGTAAAGATGTCTAGCATGAAAAGAACTCACATGTCTGTTATACACGTGAGTTCTTGCCCTTCCGGGGATATATAAGAACATTAGAACATAAGAATGGAGGAAACTGCAGCGGGCCTATTGGCCCATACTGGGCAGTCCCATTTACACCCAACCCCTATTGTTGATATATCCATCCAACCTATGTTTGAAGCTATCCAGCGTATTCGAGTTAATGATGATATTTGGTAACTTGTTCCACTCGTCCACTACTCTATTTCCAAACCAATGTTTACCTATTTCGCGCCTAAATCTAAATTTGTCTAATTTAAAACCATTGTTACGAGTTCGCTCCTGGTTGGATAGTTTGAGTACCTTTGTAATCTCCCCTCTGTTTAGCCCTGACTTCCATTTATACACCTCGATCATATCGCCCCTCACTTTACGTCTCTCGAGGGAGTGCAAATTAAGATACTTTAACATGTCTCTGTACTCAAGGTTCCTAATGCCCAGGATCAGTCTTGTCAAGGATCAACCTGTACTGCACCGGTATATATCAGGAACGCACAGTACAATATTACACCATTACGATACAGAATGAAAACAACGTGTACAGTATATTAGATGGGAAGTTATCTTATCTATAAGGAACGACCTCCTGTCATGGTTAAGGTGCCTTGGTAGAACACTTAATGCCCCATCTTGCCTAAACTTACCTAGGTATATAGTGTTTAAGTATGGTATGCATTTTCATTATTCTCTACCAGTACTGTACTAGGCTCCGTTACCTAACATTTGACTAGGTTGTATCTATGAAACCTCGAAGCTTACTGATTAGTGGAACTCCTCATGCCTTACCTAGCTGGTGTTAATGTATTCTGATAACCATATAGGAAAAAGAAAACACGAAGTTCCCGAGCAACACAAAGACAGAAGAAGCACTTGGTTGACAGCTATAAACTACGAACAAATTTGATGGCAATTACGGATGAGACTGAGTTTAGACTGACTTTTCATTACAGATTTATTAAAAAAATTTATTTCAATGTTTGCAAATACTCCTCAATGATGCAGTACTACTACAGCTATTACATATATGAATTTAAAAAAATCAGGTTATAATTTTACTATTAATCATATATCAACAAACTAGTTAATTAGATCTTAAGGAGAATTGGTTAAGTTTCAGTTCATTTCCATACAGGGAAATTATAATGGCAGCATTATTACACAACTTAATGTATAACCTACAGTCAGGTGAAGTACCTAGTTATTATTCACAATTTTATTCGATGTCACCTGAATAGAATTAAGTAAGCAGAAAACTAAACTCATAAGATCAGTGTAATATCTTCAGTATAAGTCCAAATACAGGGTACTGTACACAGAAGAAAGGACTACTGCACTGTCATCCATTATGAAAAATTTGCTAATGACACTGTTGACACAGATAAGTTGTAAACAACTGGATATACAGTATTGTTAAATAGTAATGAATTAGCTTGTGTCAACATCAAGTGGAAAATATTTTCCTTTGGTACTTGTTTATAAAGATAAAATGACATCATCACACATGGCCTATAGATTACTGTGGATGAACTCCCATAAGGGGTGTACGTGTACCAAACAGCAAGAAAGATTGTTGGCATCTAGCCAGAGCTACCGTGATGAAGGGTGTTACCCCTTAACCTGCACTAACAAATCACACTATAAAAACAAACAACATAATTACCTTTTAAAAAATTTAAAACCACAAAAATACCTTACTGCTTACACTACCACATGATTATATAGTAAATAACAAGTGTAAAGTTCAAAATTTTCCTCCAGGGACAACTCTGTAAATCCTTTATATCTTTAATTTAGTTCTGGACCAATTTTATGTTTTGAGGGAGAATATCTTAACTGTATTTATGGTAGTTCTCATTAACTGGTCATGAAACTGTCACTTACTTTCAGAACAAGACAGCCTTTATACAGTCCAGTGTACTTAGTAAACAACGCTCTGCTCATTTTGTAAATAAAGACCCAGCTTACAAAATCGTATTACAGCCATACACTTAACTGTCTGGGAACATATGTCACATTTAATAAATAAGCCAAGCTTAGACAGTTTGAATGAAACCGTTTATAATAGGATGTTTTTTTTTCTCTCTTGCAAGTCTTTTTCACAAATTGCAAGATGGCCGGACCGGAACAAACTTAAACTCTTCTCCCTTTTTACTGATATTCAATTACTTAATACGAAGACAAATGTGTTCTACTGTCATGTTTCCCTCCCACAAGTCCCCAAGACATTTTTCTAGCTTATAATGAAATGTAGTTTCAATAATCACTTTACATCAACCACTTATTAGGCTACTGTAGTGCCTATAGTTCGGGGTAACTTGTATTGTGTAAGATAATTAATGCAGCAGACATGAAAAGGTTACGCAATATTTAGACAATACCACAGTTATTTACTCATCCCTAAACAGTTTTACGGGTAAATAGCACAGAAATGGTCCATTTTGATGTAGTCAAGTAAATTACGTTAAATATACGTGCGTAATAATCACAGTCTATATGCAACCGAGACATGAGATCACCACATTGAGCAGAAAGTTGTAACATGCGTTATCATGAACACGGGAAATCATGCAGAGGCTGCACCCCGAGACAGCCTTCATTGACTCGCCTCAAATAAATTACGTTTTTAAATGCCCAATCCTTTAAATTTGACTTTTATTACAAACTTACGACTACACCATACTATAGACGGCTCCAGGTGTTCACCATCCCTTTAAATTCGAGGAGAGAGGAGCATCAACAGAATCAAAACAAGATAAGGGAGGCGGGACTGGTGGACAACAAGGCGCAGGCTCTACATGCACCACCATAAACTGACGTCAACCATACGGTCTACTCACCTGTTTATGTCGCCCCTTGAAGACTACGGCGAAGGCACCGTGACCTATAAGGTCCTTAGTGCTATACTCGTACTCCCCTACCACCTCCATGGCGGTGTGGATACTGTGTGGGTGTACGGGCGTGGGTTAATCACTTACAACTCCACCATGGCGGCCGCCGACTGTGCCTCACCAACAACACTTGCTGGATCAATACTGAATATCGCGCCCTTATCTTGATTATAACACTCTTAGGCATTAAGCGACATCTTTTTTATTAAGTCTGGATAGGTTGAACTCGCTATATTTAATGCTGTATATCACCTGGCAACTAATATTTTGGCGATTTAATAATGGAGTTTAACGTCAACCTTCTCACGCTCCCCCTCCGTTGTCTGAATGTTAACTGACTGTCGTCTGCTCAGATCAGCTGATGGAGGACGTCCAACCGCCCGCTGCTCACAACACCAACGCGATAAAAACTAGTTTCATCACCCATTATAATCACATTAACATTGTTCGTTAACTTTATTTTATAATGTATTTCATGTTTTCTTCTTTTTTTAATATTCCACAAAGACTTGAGCTGTAATACGATCTTAAGCCATATATTTACAGTTGACAACAAAACGCATGTAAACAAAAAGCGCCACAATACACAAGGGTTTAAAGGGCGCCTGCTTTAAATCGTCACCAAACAAAACATTGTACGGAATATCGTAAAAACACGTTCAAAATGAGTTGTTGGTTTACACTATGTCATCTAATTATCTTGTGAAATATGGAAAAACCCAAAATGGAGAAGCCAAACATTATTCGTCATACGGCCATACCTATTTTAAGAGTTTGCGACATACTGTACATGTATGATCATAATTGCCATACTCTACCTTAACTAATAATACAACTGTAAAAGTTAATCTACCTAGATTATTAATACAAATAACTTTACATCATAATAATAAATATATCGGGTATATTTAAACATTTACAAATGTGTGTATGTGGTCGACAGATATTTATTAAATAAAATAAAATATTGTACTGTTAGTTTACAAAGATTCAGGGTGCAGTGGCGGCTCGTGCATAGGGCTGCAGTCCCCTCAGACACTCACTGCCAGGCGTATGATTCCTTTAGAGAGACAGCTGAATAATACACTACCAACAAATATATCATTTTATATGTTATTTAATTATTTTCAATACGTTGCTAAGTGAATTTTCATTAAAATCAGACCAAAATTTAAGTTACTTTCATAGTTGCTGTCAATGCTGTACGATTCATGTCTGTTATTAATTGGCGCCGCCGCCGCCGCCGCACAATGAGCTGCACTTGAAGCAGCTCAGTCTCGTACAACGTGTGGACGGTGTGGTTAAATCGTGCTTTCTTTAATTACCCTTTGACGATGGAAAATCGAGTGAAGTATTTGCAAAACATCAACTTTTCCCAGCTGACATTAAATGAAAAGACTGAAATCAAAGCAAGAGGAAGACCTACACCAGTTTTATCCATTCAACAGAACAGTACAAGTAGGAACAAAGAATATACACGCCAGTTTAACATGAGTGTTTATCAGAAATGTGAATGGCTCTGTGGTTGTGACGAGGCAAATACTTTATTCTGCTTTCCATGCTTATTGTTTGGTGGGGACTCGCAGACGCGCGGACTTTATTTTCAAGTAATACATGGTGAATGACAGACTGTCTGCTTTAGCAGTGATATCCATTGAAAATAAAATGATAACAGAAATAAAGGATTTTAATGAAATAGTAATAAACAATTTTGCTACATCGAAGAGCAGACACGCCGACTTTATTTTCAATTAATACTGGTCCACCTTCTACCACCAACACTACTACCATGCCCTGGGAATTCGTGGACATCAACTACAACTCATACCTGAGGTAGGTCAAATTTGTGTATCCTACTGTTGTGTGAGGCTTGCAGTCCCACCATTTTATTTTTCACGAGCCACCACTGTCAAGGTGTATAAGAAAGGGCAGGTATACTAACAACACAAAGGCGGTACCTGTTTACAAATTGTTATAGACGCTGCAGGTATACATACAACATAATAAACAAAGTGCGTATGTAAACACTATACATCGTGTGGATATATAAACAAATGGTAAACGGCAAGTCGATTTGACCAAAGATATCCCCAGAAAACCATTAGATTTACTGTTGTGTTTGGAATCCTTGTTACAAAATTACTTAGTTTGAGTTATAATTTGAAAGTTGTATTCATATCAGCATTTAATTCGCCAACTTGACATATAATCAATAACGCATCATCTATATTACTATTACTCCTGACATCAACTGATTTCTGAGGTTAATGAGCACTCGGCCATTCTAACAAAGATTGCCACAGTGTCCATGAAGAAATAATGATTAAACTTTGGTTTGGGTTATATCTGCGCAGCTAGGGATGACCGGCGAGCCGCACCCAAACCCACGCACGCAGTTCCTGGGAAACTTGCCTCGCCATTTACCAGCCTCCAGTTGATTCCCAAGGGTTCGTAAGTAAAAATTTCCTCATAAATTGAAAATTGAGACTGCGTTTGACTGGTTGACTTCATCTAAAACCAAAAATTAATATCGAAAATGGTATAAGAATTACAGACGCTACCAATTCAGGAACAAAAATAGCAGAGAGGATATTACCCAAGATTTTATCCATATTTTTTTCCATTAATTGATGTCAAGTGTACAAAGTAAAATTATTGTTTCAGTGTAATTACTTTGTTTTTTTACGTTATTCTGTGCTTTAGCCCAATCATTTGGGGGAATTTAAACAATACACGTAAACATACAAATAAGAACACACTTTCACCATAGCATACATCATATACCACACACGGAACAAATATACAGTACACAAATACATACATACTATATCCACTTAAGGCATAACATAAGGTATAATACATACACCATACAAACATACATAATCGAGGTGAATAGATAACAATGGTTTTAAATTAGAGATATATAAATTTAAGAAGGAATTGGGTAAACATAGGTTTGGGTAGATATACGAGTGGTAATGGTTGGGTGTTAACAGGCCTACTGCAGTTTCCTTTATTCGTTCCACAAGGTTGGTCAATTAACTTCAATAGATATGAATTCTGAATCGTTTGAGATAATGTGCAACGCCAAACGAGTGAACTGCAGCCATATGATTGGCTTCTTCGTCGTGGCTATGTCCAGGCTCAGAGTGCGTTTTCTGTTGAAGTTTATGACCCAAAACGGTATTACTCAGCTCATTCACCACACTTGGTCCTGGATAACTTTTGGCTCTTAAAAAATAATAATAAAATAAAATCCCCTCAAAGGAAGAAGATTTACCACCATTGAGGATATTCAAGAGAATGTGACTCAAGCTCTGAAGGCAGCCATGGGATAATGCAGTAGACCTGTGTAGTGACAAGTCATGAGGGCCTCGGTCCTAATAGATTCCACATAACCTAACCTAATATGCCCCATTCCCAAGGACCTCAATCCAAATGATCAGATCAGATTAGATCAAGTTCAGGCCCAGTAGGACAGGAGCCTATTTGACCTGCAAACTGATCCAACACCAGATACATCTATAAGGATCCTGTAAAAATATGCCAATTGAAAGTTAGACATACTTGTGCAAAACCTTCCTAGTAAATCAATAATACTATATAAAAATAACAGTTGTATACAAAGTGAACATCATTAAGGTGTTCATAAAAGAGTAGGTTCCCACAAAACTTCTGATTTGCATTGTACAAAACTTAATATTTTTTCTTATTTAAAGCACTTCACTTACATAAAATACAGCTACAGTACCTACTAACGTATTATTAGGCATTTCATCCATGACTTACCAACAATCTTCAACACAATTTCTTACAGTCGCCAGCATTGTTACCTAGTTGCTAACAGTCTACTACAGTCACCAGCAGTCTCCAAGTCACTAAGTTTCCTACAGTATTAAGAAATTCATAATTCCTTACAGTATTACCAACACAATCCCTTCTGGTCACAAATAATGTACTGTGTCCTGTAGTTACCATCACAATCCTAAATTCACCAACAGAATCCTAAAGTTATAAGTACAGTCTTCTTCACTCACAAACATGGTTCTAGTCAAACACAATCATCAAAAACCTCTTAAAGTCACCACCACAATCTTAGTTACCATGCTCATTAAACCAAATATGGCACCAGTCTTCATACTCTACGAATCCATAAACACTGAATGATCCCAACATTACTGACTTGATCTACAAAGGAAGACTCAAGGCTGTGTAGCTTCCTTGTTCCATATACTACACTTGTCTTTGCTAGGTGCACTGGAAAAAATACTCCAACCCTGTGATTTCTAATACAGTACCTCCCCTGCTTTTCAGAACCACTGTAGTGTGATTTAAATGGCCAGCTCAATGTACACTACAGTCTACAGCACAGTGTGGTAGTAAATCTGTGTCCACATTTCAATAAGGTCATGCATGAGCTGTTCAGTTTCATTGACATGTCTGGGTAAATAGTCAGTTAGCTTTTTCATGAAGTATTTTCCCTCATCAACGAGAATTATGTCCATAAACACATAGCCACTCGGGCCTACCTAAGAAGCAACCTTGATGGATAAGGACCACTTGAGAAATTACTAAGAATGTCAAATAATTAAATAAATGATTTACACAAACTACAAGTATTTCAAATTTTCACTACATCCCTTCAAAGATATTATATAAATTACTGTGACCTGTACAATATGTAATCTCTTGCAGTTTTCATCAATGACACAAAGACCAATCTCTTAAACTGGAGTAGCTTTATTACAATGACATTATAATTGTTATAATTAAAATATACATAACACCAAAAAAATACTGTACTGTTACCATTACAGGAAATTCTGGAACGTGACAGAGGGTGTTATCTCCCATACCTGCAAGATAAAACTTCCTTCCTGATTGCTAAGGGTAGTCCCTCACATAAATACAATCATCTGACTTCAGCCAGAACAAAATCCCTAAGTGGTTCAAAGTTGTCAAAGGGTTAAAACACAACCAGAAAGCCACAACTTTGTTTGATGAGAATACATTACAAACAGAATTCTTGAAAAAATATTCAAAGCATAACTGCTGCTGCTTTTTTTACAAAACATAGATTGTAAGTACAGTAATGACAAACTGAATAGTAAAATCTGCTGTGCAATGTTAAACAAACTGCAAACACTATTGTTTTTACAATTGTTTTGTACTAGAGGAATCTTCTGCCACAAAATGTAATGCAATAGTCAGATGAATATGTTAACCTTTTGTTTATGAAGTGATAATGCAAAAGCCAATGCCAACAATGATGCTGAACATATGGATCTCTCTGTCAGACAAGGTAGAAAGGTAACAAAAATATATAAGGCTTATCTCATGAAGCATACACAGGAGGGAGAGTATAAGTGAAAACAACTGTAGTCTGGTGAACACATTTAAAGTAACAAAATTAAAAAACAAAACAACTATTATACAGTGAAGTGAACACATTGTATTACTAACCAAGACAGGTTAATGTGTAGTTCTAATTAATACAAAGCACTGGAAATACTATGTCCTGTATTACTAAATCTAAAATATAATATACCAGTAGAATGGAGATACTGTACTGTACTTATATCTAAAAATAAGACTAATAGATAATAACATTTTTTTTGCTGCATCCTGTCATAACTTCATTTAACACATTTAACACCTTTACTACCACTATACCTGCATACAAGATTATTGTATTTCAGAGGAGCCATATGATAAGAGATTGGTATAGATGTACTGTACGCTAAAACCAATAAGCGACTCCTTTATCATACACCATCAAAGATCATCTCTCCTAAATAATATAATACTGTATAATAACCAATACCAAATATATGAGAAATGCCACATCTTCCAATTCTTTACTTATGATATTTTACAACATTATCAATAAAATTCACCATGAAGTGTACAAGAGTACTGTAAATACATTAATATGGCACTGACTGTCTAATCTTACTGTTTATCATTAGGCATCCTTCTGCATGTAATAGGTCAAATACCATGTCAATGTCCAATACTGTACTTAAGTTATACTGTATACAGTATTTCAAAGTAAAGATTCACGGTGTCTACTCTTTACACTATAAAAGATGAAGATATGAACAAGCATGTGTGGACTTTTACTTAACCTGTTTCTGATGTTTTCTATACAAATCTTGCTTCACTCTCCCCTAAAATTTCCCCCATTTCTTTGTGGATTCTGCACCCCCTGACCCTTCCCACACAAAAGAGCAAGAAAAGTAAATATAACCGATTATAGATAAACAGCAATGACAAATATGCATATTTTAACACATACCTTCTTCTATACACTATGTACATGTACTAAGGTATGTGAAATAAATGAGAATCATAATCCAGGATATTCAGTGCCAACATCTCCAGTCAGCCGCACAATACTGTACGGTACTGTACTGTATACACTATACAAACTGATTTTTATCTATTTTTTTCCAAACTTCCTCTCGATATGTTGCAGGATGGTTGGAATCAAAGCAAAATCAGATTTCCTCTCCTTTCTTTGTCTTTAACCGCTATAACATGTCCTCGACAGTGGTGATCCTCGACAAGAATGTCTCAATATTTCCATCTGCTGTTTTCCTTGTTACTTCATACAACCCAGAATTACATAATTATCATCAGCATGTCCACCCCCCTAAACCACAAGACACCAATGGTTCTGGTCATTCACACACACACACAACACACACACACACCACTGCTTCTGTTGAATTCAGTACTGTATATGGGTATTCCTTGAAAATATAACTTAGTACAGTACAGTATAGAGACATTTTCTAATTTCCAGCAACCAGAGCTCCCACTCCCCTGTCAAATTCCCTGTAAGAAAAAGTAGATCAATAAATATGTAAATTGTTTAATAACATAATTTAAAATTTTGCTGAAGTTGAAGGTAATTTGTTCTCCTACTGAGAAAGGGAGATTTACTCAACATTACCTGTATCAGCTAAGAAATGTATAATGTACTGTACTAGCATAAAACAGAATATGTATAAAATTCAAAGCAACAACACATTTAAAAAATCTAAATCTAAAGTGAGGGACAATGATATTTATCTCTATATGTTTTTCTTTCACAAATTTAGACTTACTTTGATGCCATCTGCTCTCCAGGGATATAGAAAGGATTGCACACAACATTTGTATACATGTTGTGCAGACGCCTAAACATCTGAGGAGTAAGCATTACAGAAATTAATGATTTTAAAGAAAGGTTAGTCTACAATGATATAATTCATCAATCTTCCATCAAAGCAACAGTCAACAAATAATCAAAACCAAACTTTTATTTTTAACTATAGTAATTAGATAATAACAGTATTCCTTTACTACACAACTATTTCAAAGAAATAACATTTCCATTTTATATATGCTTTTCATATACAGTACAAAGCAGTCATACAAGTAGTCTTCTGTAGGCTATGTGTTGCACTTATTGTATTTCTAATTTTCTTCGCAGTTCTTCAAATCATAAATACTGTACAATATAAAAAGTGAAGCTTTAGCCTCGATATTTTCACATTGTAGGATCAAATATACTTTAACTTACCATTCTAATTTCATTGTCTCTGAGAGTAGTATTGGCTGCATCTGTGATGATCACAAACTTAATCCTTGTGTTGGTTGTGTATCCAAAGCTGCACTGTCAGTTAAGGAGGGTCATTGCATTTAAGAGGCAGAACATATCTACTAGATTATTATAATAACTCAGATCTTAATAGCTATTATGTCTGCAACTTCCTTTTACTGTATATGGCAGGAGCAAGCAGGACCAAACATGTACTGCACTTTCAAAATAACCAGTGCTCTTATCCACCCAAACTTCTCACTGGTACATGTTGAAGTGAGAAATTTTTGGACCCAGACCACTAACCAGTCTTGATTAGGTACTTTTGTTTGCTCCCAAGAATAATTTCCATTGTCACTGGCTATTGGGATATGGAAGTCTAGGTACAGTACAGTACATTATTCATCTTAGACTCTAACTTAGATGAAAAATATACAGTATACTGTACAGTACAAAACCTTGAATTCAGATGAACGTTTAAATAAAAAAAAAGTAAAACAAGAATAAAATTAATTATCACTGTATATCTGTGCAAAGGATACACTTTATACTCTTCTGATGCATAAAGAAGCCCTAGGTAGAGTTCTCTTGTGTCACCTGGAGTCTTGTTAACCGCAGCAACCTTCTCCTGTATAACATCGAGTGCAGTGTGTGCTAGATAGTGGAGATGAAGCTCCTCACGCCCACTGCCAACCCAAACATAAAGTGGGCTATTCTGATGAAGAAAATATTGAAGATCAGTTACAGAGAAATGACGGATGTCCATTTGTTGGGTGAATGATAGGCTGTATGAAGTGATAAGCCAGATAGTCTTAGCTAACCCTCAATTTTAGGCAAGTTTGTCTCTAAAAGGGTCACATGCCTGGATGCCTGACAATTTGTGGATTATAAATACATTTAAGTCTTTGGAAATAAGGGTAAGAGTCGAGGAAGCCACTAACACACTTTATTCCTTGCACAGGACATGGTATAAATTGTACATTAATATACAGTATACATAAAATTAAACTTAAAAAGCTTCACTGGTATATTTATTAATCATTTGTTAATGTCCTTCTTTGACACGGGTTTCCTTTGTACAGTACTGTAGTGTAAATAAATACTGCACTGTATTGTTCAAAACATTTCTGAGATTAAATTTTCTTTATCAGTTTCAGTATCTAGATTTTATATCACGGTATTTTTGTTAAGAATCTTACAGAATTCCAAACTTATAGACTGCTAACACAGGCAGTCACCAATTAAAGATTACCTGGTTTTCAAAAGCCAAAGGTACCCATTACAGTGAGAAAAATATTGCCCAGTGTCGCCTGTTTGTTTCCAACTAACCTGCTGGGTCCCAACAGTTTCTCACGTCCACTAAAAACGTAAAATTACACCATGACGCTTCAATAAAGTTGCTTTCATTGGTACCAGATATCAAAGTAAGTACTTTCTGGTTAATATGGCCTGGGGTTACGTAGGTTTCTTTGGTTGGTTAGGTCAGGTTCTAGTAAATGTCGCCTCTTTTAAATAAGAATGATACGATAGAGAATATAAGGAGAACACTACAGTACAATACTTGGTTCCATGGGTAATGGGAAGCATCATTAAGGGAAAAATATAAGCTTGGAGGTAAAGACGGAACTCATAGCGTAAAACACATTCTGACTTAACGTATGACAGTAAAACATGGACTTGGAAGAATTAAAATGTATCAAGCTACAGGTAAATTCTTAATTGTCACCTCTTTCCCTATGACAGCTACACACACAGCCATTGTTATTGTTGATCCCAAAAGGTCGCTTATTCACCGATACTTGTGACAAAAAATGTGTCTCAAATCGTTCCATCTCATATCATATTTAATATTTGACGGACTTGTGAAATTATTAACCTTGATACGCGCTTAAAGACATTAGTTGTTGAAGAGCAGTAATAACATTAGCTTTAATCTCTTCGCCACTGATCAGGTTACGGGTACGAATCCAGGAAAAAAGAGTCAAGAAAAAGTCAGAAAAAAACACGGAAAAAACCTAACCTAACCTACAGTACGTTTAATGCCACCATATACTGTATATATTGTGTTGTCAATATGTTCAAGTCATGTGAGTTTATTCCCTGTGACTATATTTCCGTTCACCACGGGTACGCCGCTTGGTAAAGTCTGGTCTTGAATGAGCTCAAACTTTGCCCTAATAGTTTCTAATTTATCATTTCCACCAATTGTCAACGTACTAGCCATTCAGTTTCAGTCTGTTCTTTGTTACAACCTTTATTGTCTAGTGCAAGTTCAGGAGGAATCCATAGTACTGTACCTGGATAAAACCTGTTTGGTAGGGTCAGACAGATGATATGCGCGCAGCTTTCAATTTCACTCAAGGTCAATATAGGTACACTGTAACGTCAGGCAAGAGCTGGGTCACATTGGGGATTAGGTGTGGGTAGACCTCTTATATTGACCTTGGTCTCACCATTGGGTCCCGTATCATAAATCCTTTGCAAAGTTTAAACATATCCTTTTGTTATAAATTTCAGAGCAGTTCTAATACTACACGAGCTGGAGGGCTTGGAAATGCCCGATAGTAAGTTTGTAGTGATATTACTTTTTTAAAGATCCGAAGTCAGTTTTGGGGGTAAATTATTAAATTGGAATGTATATCGCTTACTATATCCTTTTTAAGCATATCAGTAAATCTTTTGCTTGACTACGCCCATTTGTTCCTGCATAATAAGATTGTATTATCAGATGGTTTTTCTGGCCAAAATATTTATACGTATACAAAAGAATACAAAAGAATCGTAATAAATTTGACTTCTTAGTTCCATTATGTGAACTAATTAAAATTTCTATAGCTGAGGGTAATTTCTTCAATATAACTGTCCTGAATTTATTACATACCAATTAATTATTCAATACATATTTTTATTATTATTACCAACCGAATCTCTAGAATATTAACTTTGCAATCAATAGTTCAGACATTTTTAAGACACTTTTTTTCTATGGTGTTTGCCTCGCAAAGGACCTATACTATTATTATTAATCATTTAATTAAAGTGATACTCGGTTGTTCTCTTTAATACTATGGTAACACCGTTAAACTTCCTCAATCATTTAATTCCTGCATTTAATCTCATGCAAAGTCATATAAGTCTCACATTTAAACTCATTCATGAAACTGTCAAATTTCTTTGTTGCAATAAAAGAAACTGTAACTTTTACATGGGAGGACTTCTTTAAACTGTAGTTATGTTACAATAGGCAAAGTATTTCTGGAAATTGCCAATTTAACTGTAAAATAATGCAGTCAGTTTTGATGACAAATGGTCATGGCTTCATCATGACCTAACACCAGGTACACACAGTTCCTCAGTGTTGTGGACATCATGATGGTATTACCCGAGTCGGCCAGCCAAGCCCAGGCACCAGTTGCTGCTCTTGCCAATGACATCGTACTTCTCCCACAAAGAGGAATTGTCAAAAGTACAGACTTACCACAAGTGACCGTTGTGAGAACATTAAGGAACAAACAGTTCACTTAAAAATTTGTATTTTCAGGTATTCAAATTATGTTTGAGAAATGAAGGGTGATACACATATTATAATTATCATTTATTAAAGGAGGTATTATTACCTTTGAAAATCTTAAATCATTCATTACATATATAAAATAAAACCTCAATAAAGTCCCCTCAATGATTATTACCCACTACAGTATTTTAACACCCGCAGAACTAGAAAAAACTTGGTCTACTTTATAGTTGGGAAAAGAAGCACTTCAATTAACACCCCTAACACCTTCAAGTAATGCTATAACCACACACATGGCTTACATAAGCACCTTAACCCAGTCTGAGTTCACGTACATTCTACAAACAACTTTCTGTACTCATATATACTCAGTGCAATACAGTACTGTACTTAAATCCCCCACCTAATAACACATAAAGGTTAAGACTTAACTAGGGAGTATTTCTGTCCTCTGGAGCCAGCAGGGTTTGTCTCTCATTCACAATGGAGCCAGGCAATAGTAGGTGATCTACCTTGATGTACCATTCCCTCCGAGTCTAGTTGATCTGACACACCTCCGACCTGAGATTCGACATCATAGCTCTATCTCTAGCTACCTATCTCACAATGCAAAATTCCAAATTACTTCGATAATTAATTATTTACAGTATGTCATTAATACAATTAGGTATAATAAAGGTCAGATTTGGGATGAGGCATGACAAATTTTTTATTTGTAGGGGTGTGAATTTTTCTTCATTATATTAGATAAAATTGGTATTGATAAAACACAATAAAAAAAAGAAGTAAAACTGTATGCTAAATTACCACATGGATACCTCCTGAAATAAACAATATGATAAAACCCTAAGTGGCTACTATCTTTCTTACTACAGTGTATTTTTATCATCATCCGCCTCTTCCTTGGACTCGGTGGTGACAGGCACATAATGGCAAGTGTTGCTCATTACTGAAATAAGGAGATTACAAATTAGATTTTAATTATAATGAAATACCTATTGTCCTTTAATTATATAAAAAACAGTTTTAATGTCATATAAAGTTGTTGAGAGACTGTACAGTACCTTGAATTTCCCCAGTAAATCTTCTGGAAGGTTAAACCTTTTAATGTTAGGCAGGATTCTCATCCTGAACCTCTCTTTCAAGCTCTGCCAAGTTCTGGCTGGAAAAAAAATGTAAATCATAAATATTAAAAAAAAAACATGACCTGTATATTCCCCAAAATAATTAAAAGTGAAAGTATTTTCTGGGAGCTGACTTATAAGAAGATGATGCACATCCTCAAGCGAGGTTGTTTCATTACTGAAATAAAGCTTAAGACATAGAATGATATTAATGCTAATGGTAATAAAGACTGCATAACTTTGACTTTTTGTGAAGGCAAATTAAAAGGTTTTAATGACTCACTTTGTACAATATCATCCTTCTCCATTCTCTGCCAAAAATCCCTGCCTTTTACTTCACTGAAGGCTTCGTTATCATTTATATATTGTAAAATCTTCATATCCTCTTTGACTGTGTATGGAGAACGCCTGTGGAGGATATACAGGCCATAAAAAACTAATTTTTAAGCAACCAACGGTAAATTTCTGTCCATTTATGACTTCACAGTTTAAAACTGAAAAGTACATTAAAACAAACAAATAAATCACATAAACTGTTAAATTTGATCTAGTTACAAAAAAAAAAAAATCAAAGTTTCATACAATTCTCAAGTACAATTAGTGGCTTAATCATTTTTTTCTGAATACAGTATGAAGAACTTAGGTACAGTACTAGGAGGAACTCAAGCCTGCCATTTCAGCTGAAAATTGTACCTACAGCCCTATGTTTATCCACTCGTAAATTTACATCTAGTGTTCCCAGGACTTGTAGCACAAGTTTGCAAATTAGCTGACCATCCTATAACAACCCATATTAAAGTGTAGCCTGGGATGCAAAAGTTACCACTTGTCTTAGGCAACTCAAATACCTCACACCAGTTGGAAATGGGAGGAAGGAAGCCCCCAGGTCCCTCTATGGATCTTGGACTAAGGAGACACACAACACCGAAAGGTCTTTCGTGGTAACTTTTGTCTCCCAGATCCCTCTACATTTTGGGATAAGGATGTGACAGGAAGGTCAACTAATTAGTTGCAGTCAACAACGTCAGGGGTCCAGAAAACTCTACATTTTCAATTAATAGACTTGTTTGAGTATACATGTAAACCCCGAGCCAGGCACATAGGCTATACAGTATATATAAAAAATCTATCAAACAAAATTAGTTAATGCAAGAAAACTTACTAAATGAGACACTGCCAATCTAATAAAACTAACAGACATTAATAGTGATGAAATTCTTTATGAGAATAATTTATTGGGTACAATTTTTCTCTTACTGAACAAACAGCCCAGATATGATTGAAATCAAACAATTTGGCCCATGGCTCATTTAGTTCTTAAAAAACAAATTTTTTTTGGACATACTTACTTTAACTTTACAGCACTTGAAGGGGACCTGGTAGTACCTGGCTGGGTGGAGGTGGCGGGGGATGTTACAGCATTAGAGGAGGGGCTGTGGGATCGGGGGGTGGTGGAGTACCTGGGGGTGGTGGGATACCTTGTGGTGGAGGGGGACAATGAGGTGTCAGCAGGCAGCAACTGAGTGATACCCAAGAAAAAAAAAGTACTAGTTAATTTACATTACTTAAGTTTCTTTATATGCTAATAAGATTTTTTCCCATTATTATATAAGATAATGCAGAAAGGACAGAATCAAGAGAGAAAACAAACATTCACTCACCTTCCATCCATATACTGTACTCTTTAACTGTTATATACCAAACTCTCCTACCAGTTATGTCCTCCTCCTGCTCTCTAGATGCTCATATCCCTTACCTCTTGTGTTTCCTTCACCCCATAATTCCATCCCCTCCTACCTATGAACTACACACTCTCATTACCAATCTTTTTCTCCCTGTTATCAAGAAATGTCCATACCACCTCAGCAAACTCTATGCATCTGTCCATTTTTTTTTTTTCATTTCCACAGCTACATTTAATTTCTTATTATTATTTCCTGCATCCTACTTACCTACATATCTAGTTTACCTCACAGTAAGGGTAAGTCAATAATTCTTCTCATTAATACTAAACGGGATGACCAAAACACACTAAAGACATACGGAGAAACAGCAGTCATGATATAAATGCTATGATTTATAAAGTGAATAAAAACAGTCAAGATTTAAACACCAAAAATTATAAAGAAAACTGCCTTATGGTTTCCCTAAGGCATAATGGAAGGGGAATAAAACTTCATGGGTCACTTTTTAAATGTGTAAATGAGGGAGAGGGCGACAGTAAACTATAGGTCACAAATTACTCTCTCCTAATATCATGTACTAATGTTTATTTCTATTATCATTGTAAGGAGTAAGAAAGAGTATAAGGAGGAGTTGAACCCTGATTGACATTATAAATTCAATTACTAGTCAATAGCTTACCTCTAAGGTGCCACACACTTCATTGTCATCATGGGGCTGACCACACCTGATGCATTCTCCTCTGTCTTCCTCCTCTTTCATCTCCTGTGTTTTATTGGCCTCGCCCCCAAAGCTGAATTATCAAATAACAAACAAACTTATTTAATTTGTCATTTATACACTACATCTGTTACAGCTTTAAAAATAAACAGAAACAATTACAGGGAGGTTTCTTTTTTTCAAACCAGAATTAAGAGTTAAACACACTAAATTATTTATTCTGGAAAATAGCACATAAAGGACAGAAATGTTTATGAGTGACTGTGTGCATGCTTACGACAGGATTATGCAAATGTGTAGTTATCACCCACTCAGGAAGGGCACACACACAGCTCCATAACCTGACCACACATACACACACACAACACACTCACTTTGGAGAGAAAACCTTACATACACACACATATTTGTACCAAGTCCTTTAAAGCTCGTTTACAGGTATCTCTTGAGATAAGAAATTCGCTTATATGAATTTCTTAAATTACCATCTCTTTTTCGTGTTACGGAAGCTTCAACTGCTTATACAAATTTGGGTCCTGACAAAAATTCAAATTGCATGCCCCCGAGAGTCAACTGGGGTGGCCACATCCCCATTAGTGTTCTCCCTACCAGCCTGAGATGGAATTATGTTTATTTTTCAACTTGTAAACTTTAGTATACCCTGTATAAATATAACTTTTTCATAATATTTTCATTAAGTTATATGCACACACAATCCTACATACAGAATGTGCAAAAAAAAAAAAAAATATTAATAATAATAATAATAATTATCATAAGGTCAGAAACATAAAAGGAATAAACATTTCTTTGTGTGAGAAAGCAGGAGGGGAAACATTGCTAAGGGTCGGCAGAGGTGGTTGGGCTGCATTGCTATGGCGATGCTTGAGGGCAACCATGCATGTAGCAGCCAGCGTCTAAGCAAATGGCGCCACTGGCAGCTGTGTTAAAATTTGTTTTCGCTTTTCTAGTTTCATCTAGACAGTATTTTATTAATGGTTTTAATGTTTGGTAGTAAATTACAGAAGTTGTGTACGATTTATCATTAGTTACGAAGATTTTTTCTTGTTTGTGACTGATTTTGTGTTCTTCTATTCAAAATACGAAAAATCACCTCACAAATGTTTTTGTTTTTTTTAACCTAACCCATTTATATATCGAGGGCCATCTGTAGATGTATGTGTGTCTGGATCGTGGAGATGTGTCAGCATGCCTGAGTGAGGCAAATTCACATGTCTACCTATCATATGCCCTATCTTATAGCAATATGGAAGACTTCAATGCTTAATATGCATAACTACCCACGGGAGATTAACGGGAAGGGACGAGTCCATTACCAAAGGCTGGTGGAGTGTGTTAAATAGCAAAGTGATAACTTCTTAACGATTGAGATTTGGAATTTTCTTCATGGAAATATTTTAGTCTATAATAAGCCATAAACACCTAATGAAGCTTGGCACAAGTTTCCCTGAACACCCTGTATAAAGGGAATCATAACGGATTAAATTTTTTGGGGGTATACAGTACCTGGTCCGTATGTATACTGGGGGATACATGTTAGCTTATGCTAAGTCGGGCAAGGGCTTATTATTGTCTGATTAATCACCAACACACCAATACAGTAGTTGCCTTTACTAAACAAGATGTACAGGAGTAGTACAATAAAGTTAATAATGGGCCTTTATACGGAATGTTGAGGAAGTTTGACCTCAAAGTATAAATCTCAACACAAGTCAATACTGTATAATTGTATGAGGTAGAAAAGATATAACAGTTTGTGAAATTACCTTGAATTAAAAGGCCAAAAGTTCAAGTACGTAGTACAGAGAATAATTCCATCAAAAATTTTGTCAAAAGTACATTAATGAAGCTTATAGAATTAAGTTCAAAGCCATAGGTCTACCTTACTTCACTGATGAACAGTTAGCAATCATTGTGAAAACTGTGTCCCATTTTGCCTCCCCATGTACAGTACTGTTAACACAATGTACTGCTCTGTACTTACACAAACAGTATCCTTGTCTTGATATCCTCATCAACTTTATAAGAGTCGATGTCACGAATAATATGTTTCACGTACTGTTCTTTTAGGGACTGCCAGGTTCGTCCTGGGCAGATCTGCAATTCAGGTGGAAACATGTGTTAAGACAAAATAACTTAAAGTCTGGAGAAGTAAGAATGGGGAGATGAGGAGAGAGTAGGCACACTATCATAGGTATATCTACAATGTCTTGAAACCAATTATTAGTTGAAGGGGTAAAGGGAGAAGGGAAAGATTGAAGGGCAGGAACAGAATGTATAGAAGGATCTTATAGTACTGTACATTATAGTACAGTAATAAAATTTACTGATATACTAAGAATGAATCCTCTAGTTTTGTATGCTATCCATTTATGCTGTAGATGTGCTTGTTGACAGATTAGCTGATATATGCAGCAATGACCATCAGCAGTGAGGAATTACTTTCCCAAAACACCTGAAAGGAGATAATGTCACCTAAGAATAAGTTAGCACCTTGGCCCTGCTAGATTACAATGAACATTTTATTTAAGTGATGCAAAGTGGGTGAAATGTTCCAATTCTATTTTGTACATACAAAGACAACCACTTACCACAACAGAAACTAACAATCAATTAACGTGATAAATCTTTCAATTTAGTTTTTATATTCTCGTGTCCTATAGAAGTGGGTTAGGTTAGGTAAAGTCGAAAAGTTAAAATTACAGTACGAGCAGACTGGGTAGGGATAAGTTCTTTGGTTTACTTTGAACTTACCTTGGCTTCCACCATCTGCTGCCACATTTTTCTGCCCTTACATTGGTTGTAGCAGTGCTTGTTCATTATGTACTCAATTATGCTCCACTTCTCTTTGTCTGAGTACGGACGGCCCCTGGAAAATGGAATATTTATACTATTATATTATTTCTCAACATTCTTATAAAAAATATCTAAAACTAAATACATAAGTTCTACACACACACACACACATACAAACACACTGGGGAAGGGAAGGAAGAGGAAAAGTAGGTGATAGTAGAGATGAAGGTTGGGGAAGAACTGAAGGAGGGAAAATGAAAATAAAGAATTAAAAGTAGGCATTGATAGTGGAGATAAAAAAAAGGAAGAATAAGAATAACAAGGCAACCTACCTTGGTCTCTTTTTTTTTTCGGGTCTAGATGGTTTATCAAACTGTGCAAACTCATCCGGGGAGTCCGGCGACCTATCCCTGAAATTTACACATAACAGTAACCACAAAATTATTACAGCAGTAAGAATTAATAAAGGAAGGACAAGTGTGTATTTTATCCCTGATTCTGGCTCCCTGTTATTCATTCTGTATTACTTGGGATAGAATAATAAACAAGAGATTAATCCTCAAATTTCTCTTTCTGATCAAATTACATAATTATAAGACATCAATATCTTATCATGACAGTCATGCTATAATATTCCTTTAAGCAGTGACAATACTATAAAGTAACTGTTTCCAGCCATACCCTCATGTCTCAATTACCAGAGGAGAAAGTATTCCTGGATGATATGAATGTTGCTATTCAAAGTCAGATATATAATACAGAACTTTTGGTATATGGTTCACTGATGAATTACACCACCTAAACATGATCACTTTAAACAAAATCCCAGATGAAGAAGAATAAAATGTATACATTATATTTATATCAGCACATACCGGATGGGCAGGGGTTGTAAATCCTGCCAACATTTTTGTTGAAAGAGAACCTCCATCACTTCTACAGGTTCAACATAGCTAGACTTTTTGGTAACCCTGGAGAGAAAAGGAATAAAACAAATTACCATGGATTCCAATGGAGTATGGGTGAGGGCCAATTGGTAATGCCATAATTAATAGGTCACCTGGAGAATGAAATGCCACCTTTTTATATGTATGTTAAGCTAAATATAAAATAGTCATTTAGTTTATATCATGGAAAATCGTGACGGTAACAAAGCACGAGTTGAACTGTCGTACTTAGTTACATAACCAAAAATATAAAAAGCAGATCAAGAAAACTGAAGATATTAAGTGGGAAGTAAGTACTGTAATAGACTTCATAATCCTGTACTGTATAGTGTACTGTACTGTACTGTACTGGGTATTCCACAAAACTGTAGGTATAAAAAACTTAAAGCTCTTACCTATAACTTTTGAGGGGCAGAATAGTCTTGCTCTCAATACAATCGTTTATGTATTTAGGAGAATAATATTCCCCATATTTTTCAGGGCATGTCTCCCCTGAGGGCCAGAAACGAATTGTGTATGGCCCTCTATCAGAGGAAAAGTGTCCCCCCCATTTCTGAAGAATAAATTGACTGATTAAGTGATTTTACATAACCAGACATAGGGAATTCATCACTTACAATAAAATTCAAAATAGATATGAAGTAAACACTTATCTTATAATACTGTATATTACATATACGTAATAGAACTGCGAGGATAACACAGTGTCAAATGAGTTATTGTATCTTTGAAAATTACAAGCATTTAGTGGCAATTCTCCAGTTCCATAAGAGTTTAGTTGTTAAGTTTGCAATCCTTACAGAGTTCATTCTCCTTCCCTTCTAGGGTAATACTGAAGGAGATGGATAACACCAAAAGGAGTTATTCGATTTTGTTAATTTTTTTCCACAGATGCGATTGTTATAGTATTTTAAAAAAAGAGACAACCTTTTATTTTAATTATCAGTATTTTTTTTTTATCTACGAACATAAATCACTTGTAGTGGTCAGGGCATGAAGGAGGAGGAAAATTGTATTGCAAAACACAGTGTACATCTGATCATATGACACTAAAATGATGTCTGTACATGCTTTGTATGTGAAGAATTTAATTATTTACCAAATATACTCCCCTGTAAAATCTGCCGAGTCAGCTCGTGTTGTCGTCTACACTGTTTGTTTACAACCAACCCACTCAGTCCACAAAAAACATACAATTACACCACTTTGCTTCAAGAAAGTTACTTTCATTGGTACCAGATATCAAAGTAAGTACTTTCTGTTTAATATGGTGGGGGTTCAGAGGGCAGAGGGGCTAGGAAGTTAGGTAGGTTTCTTTGGTTGGTTAGGTCAGGTTCTATTAGGTTTTAGTAAATGTGGTCTCTTTTAAAATACCTTCTATAATGATAAAAATACCTGTGGAAAATATTAAAGGAATTGAACAACCCCTTCTGGTATTAGCCATCTCCTGGATTTCCCCTTCTAGTACAGTACTGTACAATTATTCCCAGTTTTGAAAGGATTCTGCTCCTTTAAAACCTTTCATAAATCAAAGTACACTTTCCCATAGATGCCCATTATAAAGGCTGAGATACAGTACTGTACTGTACATTCCCATGAAAAAAGAAGCCACATAACATGTTTTTAATAAACAAAAATTGTTGTACACAATAATCATAAGCCAATAATTAATCAACACTTTCTCTTACAACTCTATACCTTTATTGTACAGTACATAGCTAATTAGCATATTGTATATGAAATTTAAGAACACAGAAAAATTTCCTTTTTTTACTGTACTGTTTTATATGTGAGTAAATAAGGAGAAACTGAACAATCAGACAACCGCTGAGTGACTGTGTGCCTGGTGGAGGAAGGTCTACTGGTGCTACTATAGCATGCAGTCTACAAAGAAATCTTTAGTCTAAACTGACCTCACCTATCTTGACAACACGCTCTAGTAGCACCGATCTACTTGTCTTCTGTGAGTTTGAAAAGTTACAGTACACTATATGGTATTTGAAGGAGACTGTCGACTGATTTATAGACTTAATATCATTGTGGTTGCAGTGTTAGAGAATAATGAAATAAGTAAGCATTCAGTTCTGGTAGGAACAAATAAATAAATAAATACAGTAAATTAAAAAATAAATAAAAAGTGAGAGAATTCTTGTAACATATTATTACTTAGAAAATTAAAAAAATATATAATTTTTTTTTCCTTTTAAATTTTGGGTATTCATTCGTAAATCAAAGCACTGCAATTGTTTTTCCTAACTTCCAATTTTTTATATACCAAAGCTTCGTAATTGAGTTAAGAAATATATTCATTACAACAGGTATATACTGTACTGCAACTTACCGGGATCAGTTCGTTCAGTTCATAATGCTCCTTGCAGGAGCGCATTGAGAACTGCATGGGTTTTCCCGCTGGCGTTACGAACAGGTACCTTCCGCTATTGAATTCCATCTTTGTTGAAGGTAACAAATTCAGGAGTACCAGCAGAGTTTGGTGGGGAGAAAATAGGAAAAACTGTGTTGGAATTTGACCCTTAAAATATAGAAAATGATATCAATCTATCCACCCACCCAGTTATGGCATGCACCTCTCTTACAGTCACTATCCACCCAGTTATGGCCTGCACCTGTACAGCCTATCCATCCACAGTTGTCAATATGACAACAGGACACTATACCAGAACTTGTAGCCAGATATTTTCTATGAATTATACTTTTACCAATGAATTACAGTAATAACAGTTTTGATGAATACCTGTTATGTTAGTCACTATTACTGCCTACTCATTTTGGATTGAAATACTGTACATCTATCACCTCAACCAATGTAACAATGTAAAAAACAATCATGTTACTATGGTATTATTTCACTTGTTGCCACTAAACGAATCTCAGAATTTTACAGTTGCAATCAGAAATTTGACAATTCTACGACACTTTTGTTCAATAGCATTTCTTGCTCAAATTAGGTTTAAGAGAGATATTTAACATCTTATTTATGTTTGTACAGTATGTGACAGTACACAACCAGAACATCGAACGACTGTAGAGCTTCCTGGTTAGGTTAGAGTCAAAACTGTATTTCCAATGGTTTTCCATGTGTTTTCAACATTTTTTACCTAAGTTTTACAGCAAATCTCTAGATTCTGAGATGGAAAGGGGGGTTCACTATTGATTTGCACCAGAAATAAAGATAAAATTCGGGATCTATTTCGTTTGGGGGATAGCAGCGGATTTTAATGAAAATCGGTAAACTAGTACAGTTTTTTACACTGATTCCCAAAATCTAACCTAACCTAACCTACCTAAGTTTCTCCATTTATTCCTCCAAGTTTGCTCCACAGCAATGATCCACTATCCAGTAACGATGGTGGAGAAAACTGTACTAGTGTACCGATTAAAATCCGCTTCTAGCCCCCAAACAAAAAAGATTCCAAATTCGTTCATAACACAATAAAACCCACCGGGAATACAGAGCTTTAACTTCTATTTCGTACACTGGCAAAGACGCTTCAATACAGCACACACTAAACTGATTTACAGCCAATTAAAATAACAATTTGGAATGAGTTACAAACATACCTTTAGTTGTCAGAATTGAAACTGTTAAATCCACCGTGGTTAAGACTTGTAAATAAAGTTACTGTTGTTCATTAACTCCCCAACGGCCGTTACCGTCTTGTATACAGTGTTGCCAGGTCTCCTTGGTCACATTTCCCTGATCCATCCCCGAAAAATTCCCTTTTTGTCACCAAGTTTCCTTACTTACCTGTATATTCTGTCTTATATTAAAGTCAGCCCAATTCAAAATTTACTTTAGAAAGGCCGAAAACAGTGGCCAATTTCTGTACCTGCGGCATAATCTGGTAACTATGATATGAATAACTTTTTCCTTTTTACCACTCATCGTCTCGGTCATGTCTCTGTTGGCATAGACTTGATGTACCTGAACCTGCTCCAGTGTTGCCTCGCTAACAATGATACTTAAGGCTGGTAAGTCCTTAATATGATGCACAAGAAGTTTTTAAAGACACGATTTCGATTGATTTTACATTGGCAATTAATCACATGTACAATATAAATATACTGTACTATAAGTATGAACTACAAATATAACTAAAGCGCTTAACAGACCGATCAGTGGCGAAGAGAATCAAATTAATCAGTGCATTAAAGTACAATAACTGCTATAGCTCACAACCGTAATAAAAAGTAAAATAATCCCCCCGGTAAAAGTTCCATTTTTCTTTTATTGCAACAGAGAAAACTAAAATTTCTTGAATGAAATTAAATGCGGGACTTAAACGACTTTGAATGAGTTTAAAGCGACTTTGAATGAGTTTAAAGAGACTTTGAATGAGTTTAAAGCGACTTTGAATGAGTTAGTATTAAAGAGAACATCCGAGTATCAATTTAATTACATGAATAACAATAAAAATAATATAGGTCATTTGCGAAAGAAAAGTGTCTTAGAATTATCTGAACTATTAATTCGAACGATAAAATACTCGAGATTTGGTTGGCGGCAGTAATAATGATGATGGTGATGATAATAATAATAATATTATTATTAACTGTGTATAGAATAATTCTCATGTAATTAATTCAGGACCGAGTTATATTAAAAAAATAACATTAGCTATTGAAATTTTAATAATAAAAAAAAAATCACAATGGAACTTTAGTAAATTTTTGCAAAACGAATTTTACGTTACAAATTAACCGTATTAGCAAAAAAAAAAAAAAGAATAAATGAATTTCTGGATTATTAGGAACCCTTGTACAATAGTATATTGGTTTGGTTATGTTAGATTAGGGTACGTTATGTTAGGTTAGGTAGTTAAGGTTAGGTAGGTAAGATAAGGTTAGGCTAGATTAGGTTTGGTTAGGTTAGGTTTGATTAGATAACTAATTGTTGTGTTTTTTTGGTAACTGGTATGATATTTGGATAACTACACGATTTTTCTAGTACTGTACAATACGTAACAATTATAAACACTATAATATTCGTTAATATTATTATTCATAAATAAAAAAATAAGAGCAAACAAATATGGTGGAATGCTTTGAGCTCGTTACAGTTGGGGATATATATACTGTACAGTATAATAGTTGTTTATTTACGTCTATTGCCAGGGAAAATATTGATATAAGTATGCTTCAAAAATCTGGTACAGTGAGTTAATGTAAACCAAGGATGTCACTTGTAAAACCAAGTTGTGGGGGAAACCTGAGAACAGATCCAGTGGTTGCTGAGTGTAGGAAAAAATAACAGTTTAATGTTATAAACAACATCAATAATTTTGCTGAGGAGTCACAGTCCAACTTTGAAATGTGGATACATCATCAATACTCCCAAAAGAAAACTGCATTTTAGTTATTACCATAATAATTTGGTGATACATGATTAAACTTTTTTAATAAACTGATATGTTAGATCTTGCCTTGCTTTCTTGCACCCCTTCCTGTAAAAAATTCTGTGGATGCCCATGGCCATCCTTACTCACTTTCACTTTTTACCTTTATCCTCTTTGCCACTGATCAGCTCGTTAGCCACTTGGGCGGTCGGTCACGTCTCTGTTACTCACTGTTGGCAAGTACTGGGCATGAACTGGCTCCTGAATGTTTCTGAACCTGCTCCAGTGTTGGTCAAGTCTGGTCTTGAAACAGTTCACACTCAGTGTCGTCACATCACTGACTAACACATACTGGCGTTGTTAACTCCAGCTATGTATACTGCACAATGAAAGGCATATAAAATACTGTACAAACATTTATTAAAGCACTTTTATTTGGTAGTTTAGTGGCACTACATGGCATATTTCAAGATATATATCAATCTGAGGTAACAGCAGTGCACATAAAATGTTATATACAAGTACAGTAAAACCTCTATTTAACGGAGTACTGTATATGAAAGTCGGTTTTATTGAGAATCTGTTATATATGAACCTCTATCTAATGTGTTATATGGAGAGAGACGTCAGTTATAAAGAGGTTTCACTCTATAATGGTTTTCATTGCTTTATATATATATTTAGATGTACAAGTACAGACCTTCAAAATCAGATACAGTATTAAAAATATATATATATATATTTACTGGTCACAAACTCAGTTGAATTTTTTTTTTACTTCTTAAGTAACAAAATGAAGATAACCTCATTGTATACAGACTGTACTGTACTGTACTGTACTGTACTAAAATAAAGAAAATATTAAATCTAGTCGGCATAGAAGTTAAGAGTTGCCCAATACTGTACTGTACTGTAGTGAGTTAATTTATATGCCAGCAGCTTCTGAGTCAGGAGACCTTTATAAGAAGAATAAAGTTAATTAATAGTTATTGTAGATTAAATAAATAGCTCTATACCCTGATTATCTTTATATGCATTTATTTGTACCAATAAGATATTATCATTGTTTTCACATAGCATTTAAAATTAATATTGGTCAATTTAAACTAAAAACTGAAGGTGACCTATGCCAGATCCTGCTTGTTAAACATGGGCCAAGTGAGAGCAGGCAGCATCATGGTTAAGTTACCTCAAATATTTGGTTTATTTTACCCAATATTGATTTTAATATCTATGTGAAAAAAAATACTATTATTTTATATATATATATATATATATATATATATATATATATATATATATATATATATATATATATATATATATATATATATATATATATATATATATATATATATATAAAATGTAGGTTTGAAATATTATTAAATTAAGCAGGTGAAGCTTCAAACGTAGGGAAAAATCAATTTAGTTTAGTTTAGTTTTCATTTTTGAACACGTCAAAAAATCATTACTTTTGGATAGTTTAGTTTTAATTACCATAGAAAACATTTAAAATCTAACCTATCCTTTCTTAACCTAGCCTAATGACCAAAGAAAACATTCAAAACCTAACCCAACTACCAAAATTATTTTGGTTTTATTACTTCACTTGTTAATGGTATTCACAAAAAATGAGGTCTCTTTTTCCTAGCCAAAAGTGTGATTTGTTTTCCGTTCACCAAAGCTTCTGGGAGTTGGAATGTAATCAATCCCGTAAACAATATTAAAAGTATTTTTTTCTATCTAAAGTATACAATGTGGTTTTCTTTATTTTGTTATTTAAGAAGTAAAACACGGTTCAATTAAGAGTATATGGGAGCAAAACATCCTCCAAACCAGTCTGGTCTTGGTACCAAGAGTCCCAGATTTGAGGGACTATACCTGCACTGTAGTTCATTCTACAACTTATGTTATACCTAAGATTTAAACCTAAGAGTGGATCAATGCTCAACTCAGTAACTACATGGTGCAGGCTATTTCACTATTAATCGAGATAGCCTTAACCCCCTTATTGCTTGGCATTAACCAGAATAAAATCCTTAATGTCATTCATAACACTCAGAGGGTTAAAAAAAAGTTGTAATTTAGCAACACAACTTAAAAGCACACAGGTGGAACCACACACTACTCACTGGTGAGACTGAACAAGATCCAAAATAGAGAACCTCACCACAATGGGTGCTCTTACATTTTATTGTCATGGCACTAGGAAAGATTCACAATAACATGCCACCCCCATATTAAAAGATGGATCAACACGACAGTTTTGATACTTATTGACTTCTTCTTGAGTTGGAAGTAGAGGTACAAGAGTGACTTGTACTAACAACAGTATTGAAGAAACTGGCAGCAGGCATACATTCTTAACTGTTACAATCTTTCACTACATGCACAACTTATGTTATAAGTGAGAACAAAGTACAATTGTCTTATAGGCTTGTTCACTTTGATGGCTTAACCATTAAATAAGCCAACAGCTTAACACCTCTCTAAATCATAGTAATTTCAGTTACTATGTTGCTAAAAAAAAATGTGATTCTTGCACTTTATCATTTCATTCTGGCTAGTGTCAAACGATTTCATTCAGCTTAAGCTGCGGTCACACTAGTGTTTCTACCCAGAATAAGTCCACCATAGTGTTGATTTTTAAAAAAACTCATCAAGGTGTCTCTACAGGGACAACTTATTTGTTGTCGAAAGTGGGATGATACGGAGCGTCTGAAAATCCACAGTACAGTGGGTTGAAATTTGCTGTAGAGAGTCTATTGTATTAATAAAATTTACACCGTTCTTATTTTTTCTTATTAATGATAAAATGTACACAAATATAACAAATGTATTTCAATAACAGAACATGAACAAAAATGTCATACTAAATAAAAAAAATAATAAAAAGAATACAGCATGACGGAAATTTCATTTGACTCTTAGAGTACTTGCGTCACTTTTGTAAAAAACATCACTTGAATGCTACAAATGCACACCAAATTTCCGTGATGGATACTGCTAGTATTCCTTGGGACAGAGGGTCTTAAATGCGGTTAATGCTGCCATAGAAACATAGACTGAACCATCTTGCTCTCCAATTGAGCTCAAACTCGCCGCATGAGCTGGGCGCCTGGCCGATGGTTCCTTTCGCCAGTGTGACCAGTGTGCGGATCGTACCATTGAATTATTGCCTGTGGATGAAATGCTATCGTGGATTTATTGCCCAGAAAACTCTAGTGTGACCGTAGCTTTAGGGAGCCCATCCCGCAGCCAAACAGTTTAAGTATGGTACAGTACGTATAGCATTTGTAAACAATAACTAATGTGGGTAAAAATATATGAAGACTTGTAGTGTGAATCTATTGTAAGTGATGAAACTAACAAGATAACCGAACACTCTTCACCTTCTTAAATTATCAGGTAAATGTAATAAAAATCTTAAACCTGTTCACAAGTCACGAGATCTCAAGGAGACTTTGACCAAGAGGAGGTGACTGTAGGAGTACTATAAACCTCCTTTTGTGGATGAAGAATGAAGGAACTGTAGCCACTGAACTAACAAAAGTACAATCCTACTACAGTATTTGACTTGGTGATCTTAAAACCCTTAAAAGACATTGAGCCAACCACTGTATTATGGGGTGTTATCTGCTCGGACTGTACAGCTACTGAATTATGTGTCTTCTTGAAGGATACAATGAGCACCTTTAGTTGCATGGTTCTTATTGGTCACTCATAATGACTCCTTTATAAACAAATTACACTGGAATTAAAACTCTTTGAAATCAAAATTCACTTTTGCAAAAAAATTCTGACAATGATATATCAACTATCAAATATATAACTCCAACATGAATCAGTTTCTAACCCAAATTAGCATTTTTTATTTTATATGACAAAAGACTGCCTGTGAATCCTAATGTTTAATGCTCATCTGTTTTTGTTTTTTATGATAAGAACTATAAAGTTACTGCTTAAAACAATTACTAATTAAAAAAAAGTAGCATAACTATAGCAAGCACAAGAGTTAAACAGGGCTGGGAAAAAGTTTACTGGTTGTCGGGAGTGAGACTCACAAGACATCAAATGTTCACAACAGTAACATGAGGTCAACCACACCTTAATGTGTACTGTATGTGGCAAACATTAACACTGGACAAAAATCTAATAAGACAGCATCCATAGAATATTTCAACAAGGTTTCAGCATAACTGACCTAACAGCTTCACACAAGATGTACTGTACGTAGAGGGGCAGTCCAGAGCACCCCGGAGAGTCCAAATAAAGTGAATTCCGATACATTGAAGTCCAATTTATCAGTGTTTTACTATATTCTCTTTCATTTTGCAAGTAAAAGCAGTCATGTTAGATTGCATACATTAATTTTAAGAGACAAAGAACATTTCTGGAACTTTTGAGAAGTGATTTTTATTTTGAATTGAAAATGTGAAGTTGTACAAATAGTTTATGGACAGATGGAAGGAAGAGTGAATGTTGTAACACTGTACAATTACCTAGATAGACTAACAATGCAATAATTAGACACCATCGGTAACTTTGATGAGCAGTGAATGACTCCAATAACACTGATAATAAAAGAAAAATTCATAATTATGACTGTATATTCTCCTCTAATTTACAGCACTGTAATATTAACTAGCCACTTCAGAGATATTTTTCAATACTGTACTGTACCTCTAACCAAACTATTTATCAATAAAAACAATTAAATTTACAAAACAGTACCGTATCTGATAAGTTGGCACGTATAAATGGTACGGCATAACTTTTTTACTTAATTGATAAACATTGATAAACATAACAAACGATCCAATTTATTTCATTATTTCATATACTTTATCTTTCCATCAAGTATCACCTTACTAGCCAATCAGTTCTCGGTTAAATGCTGTTAGGAAGTACAATACTGTACTAGTCAAGTAAAGGTTCTTGAATGTACCTGAACAGTGTTAGTCAAGTGTGAAATTAAAGGCACTCACACTTGGTGCTAACATAACATTCTCTGGCAGGTTATTCCACGAGTTTACAACTTTTACTCAAATTAAGTTAGCTCAAGACAGTTTTCTGCCGTATATAATACCAAGAAAGGCAACTGAGATCTGGCTGACAAGACAACCACTGAAAGAGATGTAACCTGAACAACTTCCAACCACACAGGCAGTTATTTAGTGTTTCCTCCAAGTATGTACTGTCGCACTGAAGAACACCAATTATCTATCAAAGGAGCAGCTGATTTAGTTGAAGAAGAAATTCTAGATATGTGAGAGAGGGGAGAAGGGAGCCTAACCATCCAAAAAATTGTGCTTTTACTAAATTGGAGACACTCCACTCCATTTACTTGTACATGGATTTGAAAAGAGTTGGAAGAAGTCAGGAAGGTACAAGAAGCAGCTCAGGATGATCTCACATGGAACAAAATTAACAAGTATCAACAGTTCTTGGAAGTAAAAGGATGGAAAGGAAGATGGTGGTGACTTCATTGGAGAGGAAGATGCACGAGAAGGTGAGAAAAGAATCAACACAACGGAATAGGAGACCTCCAAAACAAGTTTGTTATAACTTTAATAACAAAGCATGGAGTTAACTTGAGGGCAGACTCACATTTTAATACATTTTTGTTGTCTTGTTTCTGATTATGTGTGAGAGAATGTTCCCAGTATTATTTATTTGTACACATATGTGTTTTGTGTGTGTGTCTACACATGCACACACATATATACAATACAGGCAAAAGAAATAATTGTCCTAAGGTCAGTTAATGTTATTTGCAGATTTGGCTATTCATGGCCATTTTTAGAACCCAACCCCCACGAATTTTAAGGGCATGATGTACATAAATTTTTTATACTAATTGTGCAATGAAGGTGTACAGTTATAAAAAAAAATGTGGAATACGGAAGTGAACAAAAATTGTGAGGTGTGACACTGCTGGCAACACGTGAAAGCCAGAGTGTAGTGTCAGCTAACTGATGGCAGTGTTGATGACATATAAACAAAGTAGCAGCAATTTAGGATGAAGCAATACCTCATCAGAGGTTGAGCATGGGAATGTATCTTCAATAGGAGAATAGGAATCAATATAATATTAACGTAATATATTTATTAGAGATGATTGTTTAGCACTTCATGCTATTCACTTTGTTTCAAATCTCATCCAGAAGTTATTACTGCACTGCATGTACCGTGTACAGGTACTGTATTATTATTGGTTTATAATCATCGTGTACCAAAAATTTACAATTAAAAACATCTTTTGTGGCATTTTAAGGTGTTTAAGAGGAAATATTTCTTTTTTTTCTAGGAACCTATCTCAACCTTTGCAATACCTGTATAACTTGATGAGAAGATGTGATCTGGTTTACAAAAAAATCTGATTATGAAAGGGTTTTCAGGAACATTGCCCCCCCAAAAAAACTGAGTCTACTGCTTAAGATTACAACAAAGTTTATCAAACCATTAGACACAATAATCCCATAATGACGTACTTAAAGAAATTAGGTCTCCGGACACTTTGCTTCTCTACATGATACATCACTACATTTAACAACATTACACCCTTGCCAATCAGGATGGTTTATCCGTTTACAATTACAACAGAGCAAAAGGTTGTGTGTTTGACAAACATACAAAATGGGACACTTTTCGTGTATAGAACATGTTCTGTCCACTTTATTACAAGGTGACAAATTATCACAGAATTCCACCATTTCCTCAATATTATAATTAATGGGGATTTTTGAGACTGATTTTATTTTAAGCATGATTAAACAATTAGAGCATGAAAATGATGTTTTCTCACCAGTAGGTGTGAGGCAGTGTGTGCAGAAGGTGTGACCACAGCGGAGGGTACGAGGTCGACGGTCTGATGTATTGTATCTTTTCTCGCACATCTTGCAATTCAGTGGATCCACATATTCTATATGAGACAATACAAAATAAAATGTGCACAAATTCTAAATAATATTGAAAGTCTTAAATATTTTTATGAAATTTACTTTGTTTTTTTGCTTGACTTAGTATTCTTGTTTTTTGTTTTTCTCATATACAGTAGAATCCCAGTTATCTGGCATCTACGGGGATTGAGAGGTTACGGATAAAATGTTTTACAGTTACCGGTAGTTGAAAATCACTCTTAAGATCCCCCAATAAATCCTACAATGCACAGTGCTACAGGCTGACCTCGCAAATTGGCGTCTCAGAAAAACAGACTTCTTTAACACTTATTCCACTTTATATAAACAATGGGATTATAAATACTGTACATAAAATATAATATAAAACTAAAAACTAAGTAAATGAAGAACATGGATGTGTATGTGCATGGAGGTGGTGGGCAATAGCTGTGTAGCCACGCTCCATCCCGATGTGACGTCATGGTATACACACAGCATAGAGTCAGCCAGTTGACTGCCTGGCTGAAGTAGATCGCGTTGCCCAGAGGATGGTTTGAGTGTGAAAGGAGCCATTTTTGGTACATAAAATATGTGCTATTACAGTACAGAGTACAGAATGCATTTTATGATATGCCATGTATTGATTTTATTATTTATCATAGCAATAAATATGGCAGCTCATCCCCATTGCGTGCAGTATCATACTTACGTTACTTACTGATTTTGTAGGAATTTTATTTTTATTATCATCATTATTTATTTTGGATACTGGATAATTGTGATTCTACCGTAAAAATTTAATTTATTTCCCTGATACACAAAATTCTTCACTTAATTAAGTTCTCTGCTGCCTGTCATACCCTCTATCTTAGGATTTACTGTATGTATTTACAATATTAACTTGTAAGGTGATAATCTTTACCTTTTTGCACTAATCTGGTGAACTAGATTTTGTAAAGCCTCTTCACTATCTTCAGTACAAGCAGTATCATCTATATATAGTACTAGATGTCTAATATTACTTTAACATAAACTTTATACCTTCATCACTAGTTACAACCTCTTCCATTCCTTGCACTACTCGTACTGTACTGTAAGTTAAGAGATATACAGTAATTCACAATATCTGAAGAACACGTTTGACTTGAGAAAATGTGTCATGCCACATAGAAAGGTTCAAGTGTAAATGAAGCTGTTATTACCAGGAGAATGTGCAGAGAACAATATCTGATGTGGTTAAGTCATGTGATATCAAAGAAAAACACTTATGGTAATCATTTAAACCCAGCTAATATCATCTACAAAATATAGTTTATGCACAGTACTGTCCATAAAAGAGAGTTTGAGTAACATCTACAAAAAGAAAATTTGAGTAATATCCACAAAAAGAAAGTTTGAGTAACACCTACAAAAAGAAAATTTAAGTGACAGCCACAAAAGTTTGAATAACATCCACAAAAAGAAAGTTTGAGTAACACCTACAAAAAGAAAATTTAAGTGACAGCGACAAAAGAAAGTTTGAGTACTAGTAACATCTACAAAAAATAAAATTTAAGTAATGTCCACATATAGAGAGAAAACATCAGTAACATCACAACAATCAATAAAACCACTAAGAGAAGATAACTTACTTGTTGGTGGGGGAATAACCCACGGTAAACTTGAAGAGGTTGTGTGAGAAGGACCAGAGCTTGTTGTTCTTGACTCTTCCTGTGAAAAGATACTGTTTTGATAAAATAAATATCTATATAAAGGTGTAGAAACAGGTCAAGTTAGCCAATTAGATCAAGATACATTATGAGAAATTGCTGTAAGTATTTAAACAACATTCACAGAAAGCTTTTAGGAAAGGAAGAGGATTTGCTGATGAAATAGCTATACATGAAGGGTGGTAGAGAGAAGCTTACAATCTACAGTACAGGTTGTCCTTGTTTATGTCAGATTTGGAAAACTGGATTCTTACATCCACATTTATTTTGTACAAATTTTTTATACCATACTAAGGTTTACACATACTGGGATGCACGTAAAGCAGCATTGAGCGGAAGCAATATAACTTTGGTTTTTCAGGGTACTGTAGTTATATAACAAGACTGACAGTGGTAGAGCTTGATTCTGTAGTCCTGTATAAGAAGCATTATACCCTCAGATGTTCCGGGGTGTTATACCTCAAGTTGGTAGTTTGGTAAACATTTAGGAATCTGTTGAATTCATGGAGTAAGAATTAAAAATATAAGGGGGAATATGTGGGGTTAGGATGTGTGTGTTAACTCAGATACTGTATAGTAGTTGACAGCACACTGAGATGGTACTGCATTACTATATTACAGGTGAAAGGTTGGTTGACAAAGATGTATGGCAAACTGGTTGAAGGCAGAACAAGATTGGCTCACAAAGATGTATGGCAAACTGGTTGAAGGCAAAACAAGATTGGCTCACAAAGGCATATGGCAAACTAGTTGAAGGCAAAACAAGATTGGCTCACAAAGATGTGTGGCAAACTGGTTGATGGCAGAACAACCACTGAAAGACCACAAAAGAAAATGAACGAGACAGTGGTAACTCAACAAACCTGATATATATATATATATATATATATATATATATATATATATATATATATATATATATATATATATATATATATATATTTTTTTTTTATATATATATATATATATATATATATATATATATATATATATATATATATATATATATATATATATATATATATATATATATATGAGAGAGAGAGAGAGACTATTCCTTCCTCACAATTCTCTCTCCCTATCTGTCTATGTCCCACAAGTGTCTCTGATTTATGTCTATATCTCTCATAGTGTTACTCATCTTGTGAAAATCTCCCCTCATAGATGCACATCTCACCACAATTTTGTTTGCCTTTTGCAGTTTGTGGCAATACAGCTGAAACCTGTGTTGGTGTATCAATAGGTGACTGACCGAAAGCAATTTTTTCCTTTTAACTGGATGGCATCCACCTCTTAAGCTGTGATCTGGGCTGACTCTGGACGTAGGGTGACTTCGGATATCATCTGAGTAAGAAATAGTAATGTCAGATAGCAGCTAGATGAAGTAAGCACACAAAGTTCTCTTGGCAACAAAACACTTCTCTGGTATTACATATTTTTCCTTGTACAGGTAAATATATCGTACAATTCTATGTATAAATGCCGAGTGGTTAACGAAGGAATAAAATTAATTTCTAAAAGGAAAATCTAATAATGCAAAACTTTGTCAGAAACATACAATAGCATACCGTATAGCATGATTTCATAAGTGAAAATATTTATGGTGCTGTAATATGTATCCATGAAGACTGAAAAAGGGGGGGGGATGATCTGTTTTTAAATATGTGCTTTAACATTAATGTACTGTATATATATAAATGTATTGCATGTAAATTTGAGATAATTTCCGACAAATAAATATTGACAAAATATTTCTCCTAAATCCCAGTACAGTAATACAGTACAGCACTGTATTGTACAGTATAAAGCATACGGTATTACAGGTATTGTTTTCTGTCTATTTTGGAGATAAGTAAGCAATACCGAAATGTCACCATGACTCAAAATTACAAAAGGGATCCACAGTAATAGAAAATTGTTTTCAGTATAAGCTGGATTTTTTCTTTTGAGTGTGCCAGTGAAGAACTTGCAAAAGGTAAATTAAGTGTGACACAACCTACTTAAGTACAACATCCATAAGAGCATGCTTCATGTACAGTATTGTGATATACAGTACATCCTGTACTGTACTGTATTCATTCATATTGTCCATTTATTTTTTTGTTTTTCTTCATTATTATGCTCAAACCAGAGCCACACACTACAGGTACAGTATACCCTTTCCATGCTCATGACCCATAAGCCCGCCCTTATCTATAGCTACAAATAGCTGATTGGTTCCCCTCAGTGTTTTACCTCCTACATATATTAGCGGGTATTTATATCGACCTTTTATAATAATTTTTTTTTTAATTTTCTAACATCCTCTTTGAAGTGATAATGCCTTGAAATTATTTACTTTTACTTTTATCCTCTTCGCCACTGATCGGCTTGTTAGCCGCTTGAAGCGGTCACGTCTCTTTTCATTTATATTCTTCACCAAAAGATCGGCTCGCTAGCTGCCGGGCGTCGGTCACGTCTGTCACTGTTCATTGGCTCCTGAATGTACCTGAACCCGCTCCAGTGTTGGTCAAGTCTTCTTTGAAAGAGCTCACACTGGTGCCGTCACAACACTCTCTGGTAGATTGTTCCAAGAGTTTACAACCCTCCTCGAAAAAAGTTTGCCCTCACGGTTTTCTGGACTTGCGGCTTCTTCAATCTTGAGCTGTGATGCCTTGTGGGCGGCGTCCGCCAGCTCAAGTAAGGACACTCAACTGAGTAGTGCCCCTGAGATGCTTATACACCTCAACTAGGTCCCCCTTGCCCGTCTGTAGTATAAGCTAGGCAAGTTCAGGCTCAATCTCAGGGTAGCTGAGGTGCCAAGTGCAGGCACCAGTTTGGTGGCCCTCCTTTGAACATTTTCAACCAACTGACAGTCCCTAGCATATCTCGGGGACCAGATGGGGTGACAGTACTCCAGATGAAGCACTTCACTCCTGAAGATCGTCACGAGACGGACCGTCTAGATATCTGAACGACCTTCTTATAAGACCCAATAATTTATTTGCCTGATTTACCTTCTTCTCACAATGGCCCGAGAACTTCAGCTCATTGTCAACATACACACCTAGGTCCTTCTCACACACAGTCTCAACTAGTACATTTGTATTGTGATAGTCCAGATATTTAACATTATTTTAGATAATAACAGGTCTTCTTACCAATTGTGAACACATTTACTTTGAATTTTCTATGAACCAATCAGCTATTAGTATAGAAGAGGGGCGCGGCCTATGGACCAGGTTAGCGTGGAAATACAATAGTAAACTAACTAATTATGTTTATAATGTCAAAGCTATATAATAGTTTCAATTAGCTGTTCTAGGTAGAGCTACAGATGCCTCTTTATTTTAATTTTAAATTTTTTACAATTTCTTAAAACAGTCAAGATGTCCAGGAAGGCTCTAGTGTGACTTGGTGGCAGTTTACAGTGCAGTGTAATGGTTGTCTGCATCCCACACAGCTGTCCGAATTTACCCCAGATCATGGGTGACTTTAGACACCTCGAGATGTAGAGTGAGGGGCAATATGATCGAGGTGTATAAATGGAAGTCAGGGTTAAACAAAGTTGATATAACAAAGGCACTCAAACTATCCAACCAGGAGCAAACTCATAGCAATAGGTAAACATTGGTTTGGAAATAAATAGTGGATGAGTGGAACAAGTTACCAAACATCATCATTAACTCGAATATGCTGGATAGCTTCAAACATAGGATGGATGGCTATATGAGCGATAGGGGTTGGGTGTAAACGAGACTGCCGTTTTGGCCAAAAGGCCCACTGTAGTTTCCTCCATTCTTATGTTCTTATGTAAGTGTGAACTTTGAAACATTGTTGTTGTTGGATATTGCTAGGCCATTGACCCATACACTAATAAAATACTTAACATCTGTTTTGGGCATTTTTCCTCGAACAGCAGGCCCATGATCCATAGGCATACTGATGAGATCATGTCCTGAAATGTAGACAAAATATTTTTTAAATCTTGCTCATGTAGCTTGTCTACACTATACAAATGATAGAATACACAGAGGTAATTGGATATTGGAAGCATAATGTATTGTCTTATGGTAGACTCTGCTGCCGTATGGCTCACAAAAATTGTGACCAAGTCCCAGGTTGATGATCTGACTTCCTGGCTCATTTATACACTATTGCAGGGTCTCAATTGTCTCTCTTACTTTGACAACACAACATACATAAATTGTTACTCACTTATGATATTTTTTTATTTATTTTTTATTTTTTTATGGTTCTTTATTATTATTATTATTATTATTATTATTATTATTATTATTATTATTATTATTATTATTATTATTGCAGTATTATTATTATTATTGTTATTATCATTATTATTTTATTTGTAATTTTGTATTTTTATTATTTAATTTTTAGTTACTGTACTATGAATGATTATATTACAGTATTATTAATACATTTTCGCCCCCCATGCCCAGATGTGGGTCAACGACCAGTGCCCGGGTGGGCTAATCCCTGTAGATGTTTTTGAAAACTGAACAAAAAAACACTTATGAAATAAAAATGAAGAAAATAAAGTTTTTGACATGTTCCCTTCATCAGAAAGATTTCTTCCTAGAGATTTAATACCTGGGCTTTGCAAGGACTACAGGTATGACTGGTTGAGTTCAGTTAGGTTTGGTTCCTCACTAAGGCAGTACTGAATCCAAGAAGAACATCTTATCCAATATTCTGTCAAAATATAAAAACAAGGAGATGACAGTTAACCCCTTCACTGTGGCGACGCCATTTTTTATCTTTTATCTGGCTACTGCCAGACGATACTCTTCAGTACAAGAGGCTAATTATATTTTAATGTACAATACAGTACAGTACACCAAGAACTCAACTAAAGCTCTTGTCAACATTAACAGTTAATCTATGGTGACATCATCTACAAAGCTTCTACAGTACAGTATTTACTGTATAGTACAGTATATACATGTATTACTCCATGTTTAAATGATCAGTAATGCTAGAAGAGATTATCACATGTTAACCATAAACTTTAGAAGAAAAAGGTATATGCTTTTTTACCTCAAGAAGAGCCTAAAAAGTTTGGGGCAGAGGAACAATTGTCATCATATTATTTTTACAATCTTTTCTACCCTGAACACTATTCCATGTCTACATGCTATAACACCTTGACCTGTTCACAAGCAGGATACTGTACATTATTTTGTTTCATCCATAAGAACACTTCCAAAACCTTACCAAATAATGGACAGTACTGCTACAGTACAGTAGGTTAGGTTTGTTCATTTTATCTCCGATATCTCATAAAAGGTAGAAGTAGCTTGTACTGTAAGTTGTTCCTGTGTATGAAGTAAACTAACAAAAGCATCCCAGAAACATCTCTGTGGGTGAAACATCTTGGGTGTAAACAGTGGAGCTGTGACATCATTACACATGGTGGTGCTTTATCATCAAAATGGAAAAAAATTATGGCAGTGTAACAAACATTTAACCTAACCTAAAAAACAAACAACCCTAACCTAACTTTGAGGTACTGTATTAATATTAAGGCACGGGGTACAGGTACAGCAGCCGTATGTGAACTGTCGATATCTATTGGTAGAGCAGCGTAATGTGCATATGTGGTGGGTAGACTATGCAATGATGGCCATCTTTCTGACTAACCTAACCAAATCTAACCAACCTGCCCTAATCTAATCTAATCTAACCTAACCTAACCTACTGTAACTTAACTTTTACTTTTATCCTCTTCACCATTCATCGGCTCGTTAGCCACTTGGGCGGTCGGTCACATCTCTGTTACTCACTGTTGGCAAGTACTGGGCATGCACCGGCTCCTGAATATATTGGAACCTGCTCCAGTGCTGGTCAAGTCTGACCTTGAATTAGCTTACACTCGGTGCCATCACAACACTCTCTGGCAGCCTACCCATTAACAACACAGTCTGTCAATATGAGGGCCGTACCTATATCCAGTGTGATTTTTGGCGTATGGCTGCGGTACCTGTATCCACTATGTAATATTAAAGGAGAAAGAGGCCATACTAGTAATTCAAAACACAAAGCATTTACACATGAAACGATTATCACTAGTCAATCTAATTGCACTGCCCTCATATATGAGGGCTGGGGATCCTGATCCTCCACTCTAAACATTAGTGGTTAAAGAATAAAATCCATTATCTTTGGCAGTGGATATTTTTCCTTTTATCTTTTATAGAAAATTTGTCTCAAGTTGCTGGTTAGGATTTACAAAGCCTGTGTTAGTTATAGGAAATAAAACGATACTGGCATGGTAACAAAATGAGAGGTAATCAAATGTACGGTAAGCTAGGTTAGCAAATGTAAAATATTAATTAAACCACAATGAATATAAGCGATTAAAGGGCTTTTATGACTATGATAAACTAGCCATTGTTAGTCGACTCTACACAGGTATAGTACAGTAGCTGTTCAATATACATGCAGTTAAATATGAAATAATTTTATATTACTAAGAAGCCCAGGGATAATAAGAAAAGGGAGAGTGGGAAGAGATAACTAACCTGCTTCCGACTCCATAGCGAAGCAACAAGTAGATTACATACGTGACGTCAAACATCAAAAGTATTTAGCATCGATTAAACTTCTTAATATTACATGTTGAGGAAAATTATTACTTGTGTTTGAATGTTTAATTTTCATACCCATATATAAATTCTTTAGACGTAATATAACCTAAGTATAAACAGGAATTGTAGCTCATAATTATGTTGAACATCTTTTATTTTTCTATTATAAAATGAAAAAGACGAAACTGATATAAAATTTGACACGGGCAACATAAATAAAACAAATCTCAAGATATTATTGTCAACTATAGTAAGACGGGGACTGGCTGTAGTTTGTTTTGGCAGTTCAAGAGGAGCTGCCACACACCACAAGATACTGCTTCTTATATTAATCCTAAATAATATTTTGTGTGTTTTGTTGAGTTCTTATTGGATGTGTTATACACTAGCGCTTGTCATGTACAAGAGAATGAATGGTTTAGATACAAACAAATATTGTAGTGTATAGGTTTATGTAGTGCAGGGTGTCTCAGAAAAATTAAGTCATATTGTTTTCCCTTTTCAGGTGAGGGAATCTTAACAAATCAATGAAGATGGTAAATTAATTAACACTACAGGAAAGTACCAATTTAATATTCTTGTGCAGAAAGCTGGATGCTACTTCGAACATTTGCAAAATTCAGTAATCGACAAGAACATCATCGGTCTTTATAACAGATTCTAAAACTGTATTTACTCTTAACATTAATTCGACTGCTACTACTATTACTATCAGTAATCACAAATAAAACTAAAAACAATTCAACAAATACAACTCGTTCTTAATTAGTAACAAAGCAACTAGATCACCATCGTTAATATCAAAGTCATGAACTGCAAACACAGTTACAGTGCCATCAACAAATACAACATCAACAGCTCTCCCTGTCACTAGGAGAGCAAATTTTAATTCTATTGAACGCTTGTTTTTACCTAAGCGGGATTGACATCAACGACCAAGAGTAAATTGATTAGGCATGTTGAATATTGTCGGCATGTGGACGCTATTTTAACAAATGTCCATCACATCAGACCAGGGATAATTAATGTTTTGTGTTGGGCAGGTGAGTGAAAGTGGACGGCAAGTGAGGGGAGGTGAAGGGAGGTAAACGGCAGGTGAGAGGAGGTGGACGGGAGGTGAAGGGAGGTGGATGGCAGGTGAGGGGAGGTGGACGGCAGGTGAAGTGAGGTGGATTTGGGTGAGTGAAAGTGGACGGCAGGTGGTGAAAGTGGACGGCAGGTGAGGGGAGGTGAAGGGAGGTAAACGGCAGGTGAGAGGAGGTGGACGGAGGTGAAGGGAGGTGGATGGCAGGTGAGGGAGGTGGACGGCAGGTGAAGTGAGGTGGACGGCAGGTGAGGGGAGGTGGACGGCAGGTGAGGGGAGGTGGACGGCAGGTGAGGATGCACCTAGGTCGTACCAACAGTTAAGGAGGCGTATCACATGTCCTACCGGAATGAAGAGACAGCATTAATAGAGACCAAATGTGAAAAGGACCTGGGTGTGTATGTTGACAACGAACTGAATTACTCGGGCCACTGTAAGAAGGTAAATCAAGCAACTTAAGCTCTATACTGTAGGAGGTCATATAAGAAGGCCGTAACGCTCTTCAAGAATGAGGTGCTTCCCCATTTGGAGTACAGTACTGTAACCCAGCCTGGTCCCCGAGATATGCTAGAGACCGTCAGTTGATTGAAAATATCCAAAGGAGGGCCATTAAACTGGTGCCTGTGCTACGGCACCTCAGTTACCCAGAGAGATTAGAACGCCTGCAACTGCCTAGACTAGGCGGTTGCAGGCGTTCTAATGTAGGGCCTAGAGCATATAGTATAGACGGGCATGGGGTGACCGAATTGAAGTTTTTAAAGATCTCAGAGGGCACTACTCTGTCGAATGTCCATAGCAGGAGCTGGTGGACGCCCGCCTCAGTAGGGGTCACAGGCTCACAGCTGACGAAGAGGATAATGTAAAAATGAAAGATTACTGAGGTGTGAACTGTGCCGAGTGTATCACATAATGAGGCACAGTAGAATATTATTCTTAACAAGTTTCTTAGATTATTCTTATTTACACCGAATTACTGTTAACGATTGTTTCTATTCATACAATGTTTATGTAAATTTGTAAGACGATTTTACCCAAGAACTATTCCTTGATTTTACCAACGGACAGAGATACCGAGTACGTCTCTAAACTGAGCTACATTTATGGAAAACGAGGAAGCATGTGTGAAGGGTAGGGGTGGGGGGACGACCACAAATCTGTCAGGCATCTTCTCTCCCCTAAAATGCATTTCTTCGTTCCACTATTTATCAGTTTACTAAGGGGTTAATCTGGTCTTTGCTACGAAATTCATTTTCTAGTGTAATTAAAGAAGGAAAACTTTGCTTTTGAGGCGATAATTGGTTAAGTAATAATAATAATAATAATAATAATAATAATCAATGTTACAACTGACAATGATGGTCAATCAGGGAGATGAAGGATGGAAGCGGTAAGAATATAAAACTGAAGGTTAGAAGGAAAGGGGATATGTGTACATGTGTGTGTGTGTGCCGTAGATAGCAGGCACAACTAACCCCTCTTGGAGCGACGAAACAATGATCATCGTGGCAAATATTTCCCTCACGTCGTCTTCAGAGAGTGTGTTGGTGGAGGGGGGACGTGATACAGGGGACACCACACACTCACCTCATGAATAATAATGGTGTGTGATGGTTATATATTTTTTCGATTAACTCTTTCTCTATCTCTCCATCTATCTACTTATCTATCTATCTATCCACACACACACACACACACACACACTGGTCTTGTCTATATCACCATCCACACAGGCTTCGGCGTCGTACTAGTGGTCTCGATTCGCTATTTAGAAATGAAACCGACCATAAGAGATAAAAATTTAATTAAAACTGAATGAAACTAATGGAACCTCTGTGAGATAACCTTATATTTCTGTAGTATATTTTGGGATAGAGTATTGTATTTGTGTAGTGTTATTTGGAGTATAGTATATTGTATATTTAACTACCGTACTGTATATGAGGTGTATTTTTTAGTGTACTATTCTAGTTATTGTATTTTTCTATTGCATTTATGTAATATAATTTGGCTTCTGTATTGTGGTATTCAAATTTAAGAAATGAATTCTTTATTTTACTGTGTGTGTGTGTGTGTGTGTGTGTGTGTGTGTGTGTGTGTGTGTGTGTGTGTGTGTGTGTGTGTGTTATTGTTGGGAGGATGGGCATAAAGGCGGGATGGGGAATTGAGAAAGAAGGAGAGAGAGCCGATACATCATCCTTTCACCGTTGTCATAATTTACGACGCAAAAATAAGTACACGGACCATTCATTCTCAGGAAACCGACAGTATTTCCCGAGTCCGTTATTTCCCGAGTCCATTATTTCTTGAATCCGTTATTTCTAGAGTCCGCTATTTCCCGATTCCGTTATTTCGTGAGTACGTTATTTCTAGAGTCTGTTATTTCCCGAGACAATTTTTTCCTGAATCCAATATTTTTCGAATCAATTATTTCCCGAGTCCATTATTTCTCGAGTCCATTATTTCCCGAGTCCATTATTTGTAGCCCGTTATTTCTCAAGTCCATAATTTCTTGTTTGTTATTTCCCGAGTCCATTATTTCTCGAGTCCGTTAATTCCCGAGTCCGTTACCTTCTGTCTGTTATTTTCACTCTGTCTCTCAAGATGTCATCAACCTCATTTAAATATTAAGAGGATTTCTTTCTGACATACGTGACGAATATTTCTACGTTCTATACGCTTAGATGTTCCCCCCTCAAGATAAATAACATGTAAATGAGTCCGTGTGTAAATGAGTCTATGTGCAAATGAGTCCGTGTGTAAATGAATCCGTGTAAATGAATCCGTGTGTAAATGAGTCTATGTGTAAATGAGTCCGTGTGTAAATGACTCTATCTGTAAATGAGTCCGTGTGTAAATGACTCTATCTGTAAATGAGTCTTTGTAAATGAGTCCGTGTGTAAATGAGTCCGTGTGTAAATGAGGTCCTGTATGCATATGAGGCAGTCAACAGTCGGCTCTCCCGTGTTTCGTAATAATTAAATGATTTTGACGACAGACGAAGATAGTGGCGGCGGTCGCGGTGGTGGCGTGGTTTAATATGGTAATACAATATACTGTGATCTTCCTCCCTTACTGTAATCTTCCTCCCTTACTGTGATCTTCCTCCCTTACTGTGATCTTCCTCCCTTACTGTAATCTTCCTCCCTTACTGTGATCTTCTTCCCTTACTGTGATCTTCCCTCCCTTTACTGTGATCTTTCCTCCTTACTGTCATCTTCCTCCCTCACACCGTCATCTTTCCTCCCTCATCGTCATCTTCCTCCCTCACCGTCATCTTCCTCCCCTCACCGTCATCTTCCTCCCTCACCGTCATCTTCCTCCCCTCACCGTCATCTTCCTCCCTCACCGTCATCTTCCCTCCTCACCGTCATCTTCCTCCCCCACGTCATCTTCCTCCTCACCGTCATCTTCCTCCCTCACCGTCATCTTCCTCCTCACCGTCATCTCCTCCCTCTCGTCATCTTCCTCCTCACCGTCATCTTCTCCTCATCATCTTCCTCCCTCATCGTCATCTTCCTCCTCACTGTCATCTTCTCTCTCACCGTCATCTTCCTCCCCACCGTCATCTTCCTCCCCCATCGTCATCTTCCCTCCTCACCGTCATCTTCCTCCCTCACCGTCATCTTCCTCCTCCCTCACCGTCATCTTCCTCCCCTCACCGTCATCTTCCTCCCTCACCGTCATCTTCTCCCTCACCGTCATCTTCCCTCCCTCATCGTCATCTCCTCCCTCACCGTCATCTTCCCTCCCCTCACCGTCATCTTCCTCCCTCACCGTCATCTTCCTCCTCACCGTCATCTTCCTCCCTCACCGTCATCTTCCTCCCCTCACCGTCATCTCTTCCTCCCCATCGTCATCTTCCTCCTCACCGTCATCTTCCTCCCTCACCGTCATCTTCCTCCCTCACCGTCATCTTCCTCCCTCATCGTCATCTTCCTCCCTCACCGTCATCTTCCCTCCCTCACCGTCATCTTCCCTCCCTCACCGTCATCTTCC